ACTGCCATGCCATTTGAGATAACAAAAATACAAGACAGCCAAAGTGTTCATAAATAGGAAAATGGAAAAGTAAATTATAGTATACATTCATACAATGAATACTATAAGCAAATAAATTAATAAATTAGGACTTTATGAATCAGTTAAGAATGAATTTGAAATGTTGAGCAAAAATGTGAGTTACAAAAGGAGAGATGAAGGTAGCGTTTATATAAGGTTTAAAAACGTGAAAAAACACTAGTGTTGACAGATGCACGCCCATCTAGGAATGACAAACACCCACAGGTCATGGTTACCTTAACGAAGAGAAAGAAACGAATGAGACCATGGAGGCATTCACAGGAGTTGGCAATTCATCTGCAATGTTTATTTTTTAAATTGGCTGGTGAGATCACAGGTGTTTATTATTTCCTACTCTTTGGTATGCCTAAAATGTTTCAGAAGTTGTAAAAAGTCAACTCATAATGGCTGCCTTTGAGTGTAGCAGCACCTGTTCAGTCTAAAAAATTAACAGAAGAGGCAAAGAGGATCACAGTTCCCTCAGCTCCTAACTCTCAAGTCCCCAGATCCGAGCACCTGTTACTAATTCTGCCTCAGTTTGGCTCTACCTGGACAGTCACCCTGCCCACTCCCCCATGATCATCTACACACATCTACCTCTGCCTTCAAAACCCGCCACAAAAAGCGGCACTTCCAGAGGGCCTCCACAACACCTCATGCCAGAAGTAGCCCCAGCCTTAGAATCTTACGTCTGGCTCGGCAGGCCGGTACTAGAACTATTTGTGAAATTTTCTTATCTGTCTCCTCTCTGGAAGACACCTAGTACCTAGTAGAGAGCAGCTGATAATTAAGTTCTTCGTTAAGCAAAAACCGAGTGTCTGGTGCGTGCTGGCCCCGGTAACAGAGGTTCTGAGTCTCAGAACTGAAGACTTGAGAAGATCACTGCCTAAAAGGAGAGATGGGCCCATACCTGACTAAGTACAATATTGCAGGATGAACCCTAAAACTACTGTTAAATGAACGCTGAGTGTGAATAAAGAACTTTTATGATTTTGTTTTGCAATAATTATTCAATACCTCTTATTTTCTCTGTACTAAAAATTTTATACTACTATTCTAGACTAAAAAAATGTCACCTTCTTTGTGTTGAGGTGGAGCTGCTAAATAGATAATTATAAAGACAGTAAAACAGTCATTAAAAATCCTCACCTTCAAGTAATCCAAGGCTCTTAGAGTTCTTATTACAGATACACAACACCTTTGTCGATCTGACTACAGCCCACTCATATCAGGTGACTTTGAAAAAGTTTTAAAGAAAACTTTTAGTTGAAGCAGTGTTATTACTGATAATAACAGCCAACATATTTTGAGTACTCATCAAGTGGAAGTAAATTATTATCCCTTTTCCCAGATAAGGAAGTTGAGGTTTAGGGAGATAATTCACCAAAATTTGAACCAAAGCAGTCTGACATCAGAACCCACACTCTTTATTAAAAAAACCATACTGTTTCCTACCAGGAAAATGGATCAACCCCTCTATTTCTAGAGTAAGGATGGGCACCCTATGATCACTACACCAAAGATGAAACAAGAAATCATTTCAAGTTCACGGCCAGGACCACTCACTTTTACAAACCTCTGTAACAGTAACCCTGCTTACCTGAGAACAGGGGCTGTCTTACTGGGCTTTGTATTCTGCCTCTAAACAGTTTTCACCGCATCTCAAACTTTAAAGTACTTATGAATCACCTCGGAATTTGTTAAAACACACATTTTGATCGAGTAGGTCAGGGGTAAGCTCTGTGGTACACATTTCCAACAAACTCCGAGAGGTTGACAGCCTAAGCTGACAACAGAATCACCTGGGAATCTTTTAAAGCTATCACTGTCCAGATGTCACCCTACACCAACAGAATCAGAATCTCTGGAGGTGAAGTGTGGGAAGTCGGAATTTTAAAAAGTCCCCTATGTAACTCTAATGTGAAGTCAGGTTAAAAAACCCTATTTAGAGCTTTCCTACTTTAGCTTGGTCTGTGGACCACTGTCCTAGACCCGTGCTTCTCAAACTTCATTGTATACATAAGCCACCTGGACACCTTCTTAAAATGCAGATCCTAATTTAGTGGGTCAGGGGTGGGGCCTGACATTCTGTACTTCTAACAAGCTCCCAGGTCAATACTGCTGGGAAGCAAGGTGGTAAGTAGAAAGATTAAAAATGTCAGTAGTTCAGTGTGTGTGATTTATTACGCTTTCCTTTCATAATTCTTAATTCAGAGACCAGGAGAATACTGCAGACGGAGGTTTAGGTGCAGGCATATGAAATAGCATATGGGTGCAGGGATTATAAAGGTAAATCATTTATCTAACACTGGTTTAGATGTAGTTTAATATTAATCCTCATTAGCATTCATGAGAAAGATTATATTGAACATAACTTGTAGCATGGCCACTCGGGTACTGGGTATTAAGGCTCTGCTAGGAGCTTGAGCCAATTTAATACAGACTCTGTATATCAGTTTATAGAAAGCTTATGAGATCCACGGTACAAAAAGAAAAAAAAAATATCAAAGCACTGGAAATGTACCCATTTTGGGTTCTGATAAACTGGTACTCCTATGAAAAATACCTTCAAAGAACTTTATTTCTCCTTTTTCTTCTCCAAACCACAAATCAATGGGTAACATTTCTCATCCAGTACTGCAAATCTTGTGTTAAGTGACCTCTACTGAGAGGAAATGTTATTGCTTCCTTTAAAAGTTAAATATTGCACTGATATATGAATAAAAAGATTGCTGTATCATCCCAACCAGTTACAATATTAACAGCCAATCCAGTTTTTATTTAGACCTGCGATTGTCCTTGTAATTAATATATAGGCCCCAACATCTTTTATCATTTGAAGTCTTTTAATATGGTCTTTGATAAAAGATCATCCACTTCAGTGAGCATCCCGCAGCACTCCTCAGTGTAATATCCACCATTATCCAGGGCGCATTACTTTAAGTTGTAAACTACAGAATTAGCATGTTTCTAAGAAACCCTATTTCAAATCCAGCACCATTTCCTGAAGTCATCACCAATTTATACAAGAGGCACTCAACAAGCACTAAGAGCCCAAAACCACCAGAGCCAGCCAGGGCCAGGACTATCTGGGAGGAACTGAAAGAACATCGATGACCAGAGCACGAGGCTTTTACACCGGGCCCCCTGATAAACAAGGTGCTGTTGGAGAAATGAAGCCAGCGCAGAGAGCTGCCAGGAAGTCACCTTAGGGGATATTTTCTACAAATATGGACTCAGAAAGACGCACAAGCAGCACTCTTGTGCTCCTGTGTGTGCATCTCTGCAGTGGCCTCAGTGCAGCCCCCACCCCCCAAGAGTCTGCTCCTGTCCACAGCTGCCGGCCTCACCTCTAAATGGTGGCTCCAGTCCCCGCAACCAACCTTCAATCCCTTATTCCCACCAGCATTTGTACAAAAGCACCATCACGCTCCTCAAATTTAACCTGCTTGAACTGACCCCACTACAAGCTATGCTCCCACAAACGCTGCTGACCTCCCCACTTCCTATTACTTCTGTCATCTAAGCTTGAAGTCTCACTATGATTTTGACTCAGCCTTCATGTCCTACATTCAGACATTCGCCAAATCCTTGCATTTTTTTTTTTCTTTACCAGGCTTTTCTTACCTATTTTCTTATATCCCCTAGACTATTACTCAGAATACTACAAAACTCACAACAGGTTTAAAATAAATATCCACCAACTAGAACTTAGCCAATTCTTACAACAAACTATAAATTGAGTGGTAAGGTTACTTCCATTTTACCAATAAGGAATCAGAGGCTCTCTGAAGTAAAACAACCTACCCAACATCAGGCAGCCAGTAAAAAGGATGACTTGACCTCCTGGTCTTCTGATTCTAAATCCCCATATTTATGCCACCCTACCACAGTGCGCTGTACTTTATGAAAAGAAGTGAGATTTTAGGAAGTCCAGTAATAAGTATGCCAGGCAGCTTAGAGCTGGGAGGACACTGCTGGCAGCTCAGAGGCTGATACAGGATTTGAGCACATGGTAGAGTGGCACGGACATAAATTTTGATTTATCTCCTACTATGTACACCAGGCATTGTCATGCCACTTGATTTTCTTTTCTTGATTTTTGTCACCTGATCAATTTCATTTGCTTTTCCTTCCTTTACCAGATAGGGATTATTCATTGCATTTTATACTTGGAAAGGCTCCCAGGTTTTCTATAATTACTCAAGATTACACATCTAGTAAGTAACTGAGGCAGGATTCAAACCCAGGTATGCCTGGCTCTACCTAGTAGAGTCCACATCACTTATCACTGAGCAAGAACCCCTTTTGGTAAATAAAAAACCAAAATCCATTATAGCTGCTAGAAAAGCAGAAAGAAGAAGCTAGAAAGAAAAAAAAAATGAGAACCCATTTTCTGCAGAACTAGTTTTAAAATGTAAAAGAAAAGGACTAAAGAGATTGCTAGAGCAACGGCTACCCTATAATCAACCTATGAGACAGCAGAGCTTCCGGCTTCTAATGATAGGAGAAAAGTTGGGTACTCAGTGGCCTGCCAGGTTTCTAAAGATGATTTCACAAGATCTAATCTTTTCCTCGGTCACCAGCTTAACTAATACCATGTTATTTTAATTTCTTATTTTAATACTTATACATTATATCAAAATGCCTGCAGGTTTTAAGTTGGAATTTCAAAAAAAATTTTGAAACCACACTTCACAAGCTTCTGTATTAATCCTATTTCATGTGACTTTTTCCTAGACAGAAAGACACTAGAGAAGGAGAAAAACTGAGGAAAGGGGATACTTTTAAATGCCAGCATTCCATCTGAGAAGGGGAGGGAGAGAACAAGAGGAAGGCAAAAAGCCGAAACTACCGAACTCAGAGTGGACCAAGACTGGCTGGAGCACTCTCCTCAGGCATACCAGTTGCACGCAGATGTAATTCACCTCCTCTGCTGTACTCCACATCCTGAGCAGTATCTGAAAGAAAAACTAGGAAGCTGAGACGTAAAATATATCCATTACACTAAACAGGTGATTTTAAAAAGCAGTGTTATATATTTCAGAGAACCAAAAGAAAGCTCCTGCCATATTCCTGTATTTGATATCTCTCTTTTCCCATCTGTCCAAACACAAGCTCAACAGAAATGGACAGTACTCAGCTCTCTTAATGGTTACAGTGACAACATTTGTGCCTTTCAGTCTTCAGGTCAGAACTTACTGACTGGAGTCGCAATCATCAGATGATAAGCCAGCGAGGGAGAAACACCCAGACACAAAGGAACCCATTGGAACATGTACAACGGTAAGTCTCTAATTATCCTTTCTAATTTTGCAGCCATGTGACTGGACTTCACACAGCACTGCTGACCCTATCAGCCTGAGTGCTCTGTAGCGGACCACAACGGGAGGGGATGCTCCTCTTTGCTCCTTCATTAAAATACTGAGTTACATTCACAGGGTGAGCTCTTTCCTGACCGACACGCAGCTCCCTTGCCAATATTCAGTGTTCAGAGCACTCAGAGCACCTGAGAGAATTTTACTATTCCAGGGTCTTAAGAATTGTTTTCACCTTATAAAGAACGATCTATTTGATATCACAAAGGTAAATAATGCTTTAAAAGACAAATAGTGAGCACATGTACTCTTTGAAAATGTCCCTTCCGACCTGATACTAGAATATTACAGATTTCAAATGTCTTATTCTCTGAGTTAAGTGGTGAGAGAGAGAGTATCGGAGAACACCAACCCCCTCTGGCCACCAACGCGTGGCTAAATCCAAGACTGGAAGATGTTGCTGAGAGACAGAACTAAGTTTTGCTGAAGCGATACAACATCCTCATCACTGTTCCCAAACATTTGCACCTGTCTTTAAAGAAGCCACACAATAGAGAACAGTGTCATCCTGCATTCAAAAGAAATCACTGTCAAGTACTGCTGCTGAAATCACCTTTAATGACAAAGTAAAGGCAAATATTGAAGTAGAAAAAGATTTTAAAACATACCTAGGCAATGCCAAATATATTTTTGTTTTGAAACCAATAATAAATGGACTCTGGAGCCTGACTACCTGGGTTCAAATCCTGGATGTGCCATTTACCACCTGTGTAACTTTGAGCAAGTTACTCAGTTGTGCTATGCCTCAGTTTCCTTATCTGGAAAGTGTGAACATTAATAGCTTCTTTCTTCTGGCTTCTTATGAGAAGTATGCACCATGTGTTTACTAAATAAAACCTATAGGATGCCTTTGATATAAAATTGTGCTCAGAGACAACCTAAGTAATCTTATAATCTTTTCTACTGGCTGAGACCTAACATTTTATACATTAAAATCAATACTTCAACAGAGACGGGCTTAATTTCTTGGTTCAGGTCTAGCTAGAATCAAAGAAGCATTATCAGGGAGATAGTCATATCATTAGTCACTAGTCATATCATTAGTCATATCATCCCCTTTCCTTTGAGCCTTCTTCAGATTCCCTTTATTTAATATGGTCAGACACCCCCCCCCCCACCAGTCCACTGCCAATGGAACAGCAAGGCTGGTGAATAGAGACAAAATACTAGGCATGTGCACTTGTTTTATTTAGCACTTTATTTATGTAAATGTCATATTTATTAATAAAATTGGAAAAAAAATTTTCCCTTGAATCCTAACACTCTGACCCTCAGTTTTGGTTGAGGGAAGTCAATCAGGTTGGCAACTGTGCATTCTAATCTGGATTTCCTTAACAGGCTCAATAGTCTACTTCCTTATCTCTGCAGAAGAATGTTTTAATGTAGAAGAAATGTTTAAAAGCCTGCTCATTGATTACTTAAAAAATTTATGGAGACATGTTCATTATCAATTTGGTAAATTTTTTCTCAAACACACACACCACCACCACCACCACCAAGTTCTACAATTACCAACTCAGACTCCTGGTACTATAGACCTATGAATGAGAGAAATTAGATTTAGAAGAAGAACAAAGGTATGAGACCAGGCAGCCTAGAAGAGTGAATGTATCTGGTCTAAGAGTCAGACTATTTGAATTCTGGTACAGGATCTCTCACCAGGTAAATCCATCCCACCAAACTGGGACTCGGATTCTTTACCATAAAAACAGGAAAGATTATCTAAGGCCCCTTCGAGCTGAAAAATGTCATAATTCTTCAACCTACAATTCTTCTGATGCTGCAACTTGAAAGCGCCAATAAGGCAGAGAGGGTAAAGAAAAATATAACAGTCATTCCAGTTTCTTTAAAATTTCTTAGGATCATTGAGCCCACTCTATTTTTTTTTAAGCTGAATAGAGACACATATCATAAAACAAAACCTCTTCCACCTATAATCATTTACTATCTTATGCCAACTCAAAGACCACAAATAGATCCATCCAAGTCACCAGCAGGGTTCAAGGAAGGGTAGAATGACCACCAGTTCAGGAATCATGAGGAAGAATGCCAGAGCTGGGAGAGAAGTTTGGGTGGCACATCTCTAAGATGCTTCTCATTCAGTACTAGGAATTCCATCTTATTTTTTTTAAAGTTTTAATTTAAATTCCAGTTAGTTAACATACAGTGTATTATTAGTTTCAGGTGGGTGTTCAACACTTTCATTACAACACCTTGTGCTCATCATACTAAGTGCGCTCCTTAATCCCCCCATCTCATCCATCCACATAATACAAATAATATATATTTTTTGTTAAAAAACAGTTGATTTAAATATCTGTTCTCTCTCTCTTTTTGTTTTTGTTTTGTTTTGGGGGCAGAGGGGTTTTGTTTGGATTCTTTTTGTTGTCATTGCTGGTGACTCGTGCCTTTTTTTAACAGGAAAAACAAGTTCATTATATTCATATTTTTTATTTGTATTTTCAAGACTTTAAACATTTATGTTTAAAAGTGAGACGAAGAATAATATTTGGAAACTGATTCTTGAAATAATGCAAGCTTATAATGTATCCCAACTTTCTGACATAGAAGATTTTTTCTATAGTGAACTCCCGTGGGCGTTCTCCAAGTATTAACCCCTGGACGATAGGAATTGGCTCCTGCATGCACACATGTACACACCCCCACACACATCTATCTATACATACCGGCTTAAGCCAAACTCTTGTCTTGCAGATGTAGAAATTGTTGCTTTATTTCTCTGATAAAACTGGTTTTAGACAAAAAACAGGGATAATCACTCTCTTAGATCATGCTAATGTTAATAGAGAAGATGCATTCTTTTCTTTCTTCTATATGAAACTTGAAATGAGGAAAAGCAATTCTAGTATAAATCATGCAAGCATTATAATTACTATATATAAGAAAATCCAAGAAGATTCAATCACTGTATAGAATGGTAAAGTACCAACTCATTTCTTCTATCAATCATATTGTTAAATAAACTGTGCGCCAAAAGACAAAAGGGTGGTCCTTCTTGAATTCATGTACATGGTATTAACACATGGGGGGACGGGGTTGCTCTGAAAGTGCTGTTGCACTCCCTACTCCCTATTTCACCCATCTCCCTACCCACCTCCCCTCTGGTAACCATCAGATTGTTCCCTATAGTTAACAATCTGTTTCTTGGTTTGTCTTACTACTGGCCAAGATCTCATGGTTTTACAGTGCAGGTAACGAAGCTTTGTCTTGAGATGGACTGAAGTATACTGCTGTCTAAATGTGAGATGCTAAAATCCTGTAACCTACGATAATACTCTTCCTTAACTATATCTAACTCTGCCCTACTAAAAATGACTGGCACCTTTGCTGGCCCCAATCATGACTACTTCCTATTCCAAGTAAGCAGACCATACATTTGATAAAACTTTCACCTAATTCCTTCCCGATCTGATTCGCTGATGTTCACCTTTTCTTTTTATTTACTTACCCTCCCTGTAGCTTCTACAACAAAGCCTCTCAGTCACAAAACCTCTCAGCTCCCTCAACCTATTTTTGGGCCTGTTATATAAATAACTTCAACTCACCCCAGAAAGTTGGACCGAAATTTTAATAAAATATCTGCATGCCTACACTACCGCATTTTATTACAACTTAGCTATCAGAGATGATGGTGAAAAAAAAGGACAGAAGAGTAAAGCAAAAAGGTCCCCCCTCTGAAGGGAGGACCACCCTCTTCAGAAACATCTTCCCCTCAAAGATCCCCTCCAGAGACACCCTCCCTCTCAGGGACGCCGTCCCTCTCAAGAGATGCAGGAAGCCTAAATGTGGACTTAGCAGCCAAACCAATTCTGATTCACAAAACCTTTACTCAAGCTCCTACTTTATACCAGGCACTATGCTAGTTGCTTAAATCTATATTAACTCTTTAATATAGCCACATAGCATACTGGATATCATTAACCCCATTTTGACAATAAAGAGAGTGGGTATCAGAGAAAATAAGTGGCTTGCCCAAGTATTTCAGACCAAGGTCTTCTGCTTTTGAGACTAGAGATTTTTTTAATTATCTCACTAGTTATCCAAGAAGTCAATCAACATCCATGGTCCATTTCACATGGCAATGCATAGCTGCAATGCTATAACATGCCAGTCTTGAATGTGTTCATCCAATGAAATCTAGAAAATGCTCAACATAAGATGGACTGCTCACTAAGAGAGGCTCACTGGAAACCTGTAACATGAATACTCACTTAAAAAAAGCACTGACACTTTTTCATACAGCTTTAAAATAGTTTATCTCCATTTAACCTCCCCTCCACCTCTCCCAACACACACACACTGACACACATTAATTCAGGAAAATTATATTAAAACCAAATTCACAAAATCGTTTGAAATTTAGTATTCCCTGTGCATTGATCAAGATGCTAAATGACAAGTAAATCGCCTGAGGATGATGAACAAGAAGAAATGAAATGCTGGATAATCCAGACAGACAGGGAATCACTAAATGACAGGTATGGCACATATAAACAATGTAATTTGTCATCTTAGCTCCCAGATAGACTCAAATCCTAAAGTAGAGAGAGGAAGTATTTACAGCCTTGACCAAGTATCAGCTCTACCAAGCATTCATATAATCAGATCCTTCCCCCACCATCTCAGGAACAGGAAGAATGCCCGAAAGAGCAGGACCTCACAGAGCAAAGGCCTGGAAGAGACTCTGGTGCCCAGCTAACCCAACACCCTCAATTTGCAATTAAGGAATTTCTGGCGTAGTCAAGCAACCCGCTTCAAGTCATCAACCACTATCAGTGCCAAAACAGAAGTCAACAGCTCTGTGTTCTTTTCACAGCACCATACCATGGCCACCAAAGCTGCACCACGGGAGATGACACCTACTCCTCACCCACGAATATTTGCTTAGGATCCAATTTACATACTGTAGTCCAGGAAACATCACCAAATACAATAACCACAGCTTGCCAATTTAGCAAACTGCTAGGGTGTACTCTGCCTGCCCCTAAAACCCAAATTACTTTCTACTCCCATCATTCACTTATATCCACGGAAATTGGCCAAATGCTGCTTAGATATATTCCACACTCAGATCTCCCAAAAAGAAAATGAAACAAAAACCACCACATGAAATTAATGAGAATAGAGCTAGTACCTTCCCCAGAAAGCAATCTCTGGTGTGCCTTTCATGTAGATGGAGTCACTGGTGTCATTCAGCCCATTGGTGATCCCACTAGAATAGCCCATCACTATTCCACCATCTGCTGAGACGCTCAGGACATCTTGCTGTCCTGCCACCGACGTCCTGTCCAGGAACTGACTGCCTTCCTTAATGCGCTGCTGTATCATTGGAGTTAGGGGCATTTCAAAGCTAAAGTAGCTATCAGGTTCTGAATATAATGTCTCCAAGGACTCAGCACTGTAGTATAAGGAAGTGTTGTCCAAAATGGTTTCAAACTGGGAGCTGTACACATCAGTGGAGTCCTCTGCATACCCAGGCCCAAGGATATCATCATCTCCTCCCCTAAAGTGCTCCTCTTGCTCAAGAATCCTGGAAAGGAAATAAGAATAAAGAATTTCAAAATTAGGCTAATACTTTTTATTTTTTCCCCTTCAACCATATAAAAAAGATAATATTCTGTAAAGCTAGCAATTATATTCTTTGGGCTTATATTTTAATATATTTCGAAAGGAAGATACCACGGAAACATATTCGGGTTGACAAACCTCTTGGCATACATGTGCTACACTACCCTCTAAATAATTTATATGGTTTCACACTAGTTTCCCAGTATGTGACTCTATCTGGTCAACTAAACTCCAAATAATAATTCAAATTATTAGCAGCTACTGTCATCCTCAATTTTAACGGACCCATAAATATATCGTGTAAACTTAATGGAGTAAAAATACACTAAACTTTCATCAGTCTATTAATACTTTCTGATTTAAAAAGAACAAACGCCCTCAAGAGGATGAATACATTAGAATCCAAGGGTCGCCCCCTGCTGACAACAAGGCAGCACTGCAGAGAGATTTCAAGCCCAAAATTAAGAGAGCCAGTGAATGACCTTTAAAAAAAGTTGTTTTTTTTTTAAAGCCAACAAACATGTTAATTCCAAGGCTAACCAAAACAGTGAAAACCTATAAACAACTTACAATTTAATATACATGGGTAGAGCACCAACTAATTAGTATGCAGCATTCTGTTCAAATATTAAAAATGAACATTAGGATAACTAAATAAAAAATTTAAAACTCTTAGCTTTGTGCAGTGGCAGTATCGTAGCCAATGAGGTTTATCCGAGGCGCGATTATTGCTAATTGAAAAAATTTAAAACTCAGTAAGAGCAAGAGGTCAAGAGTTAGAAAAACCTGGAGCTGAATGATGGATGTGCCAATTACCAGCTATGTCACTTTAGAAAACTTTACTTAACCTCTGAGCCTCAGATTCCTATAAACAGGAATACAATAAAAATAGAAAGAAAACTACCTCGTAAGTATCCATATTCCTAGGTATTATGAGGACTCACAATCAACAATACAGTTGTCTCTGTTGTTTTTAAATTACAAAGGTCTACCATGTACCAAATAGTATTCTGGGTTTATATCTCTAAACAGCTTCTCACTGCTTATGGAATAAAATGGCAAGTTCCTATGAGGAAGCTCCTCCCTACCCCTCCATACTCACCCCCCACCCCCCCACCCCTGCTTCCCTGTGGTCCAGCCACACTGCTGTCCAACTTGCCTTTGTCTCACACAACTCCAGGAAGCACGTGTAGTCAGGCAGCCCTCCTTTACACATGCTGTTCCCGCCCTCCCTGGAGTCTTTTTCCTCCCAGTACTCTGCCTGGTTAACTCATACTTATTTCTCAAGTTTCAGCCTACTTATCATTTCCACAGAAAGGCCGCCTCAGAGCCATCAACTGAATTTAAGTTATTTTTTCTAGTATGTCTCTCTTCCTCTACTTCACAGAACCTACCACTATTTATGATCCTATAATTATTAATATGTTTATATGGTCAGTGTTTATCTTCAGCAGTAAACTCCATGAAGGCAGTGACCACAGGCCATTCTCTATTTTGAACATTCTTTTATGTCCAGCATCTAGCAGGGTCAATAACATCGTAGACAATCAAACACTATTTGTGGAAAGAGAGAGAGAGGAAAGGAAGAATGAATTAATAATATGCAAAAGTGCATATTCCAGTGGGAATATAATTACTGAGCCATGTGCCACATATCAAGGCTGCTTGTGAGGGAAGTCTAGAGATTTTATGTGTTAGGGGGGTGGGGGGGGAAGGAGTAGAGAGGAGGAGTCCTGATAACCATCCTAAAGGAGCATCACTCTAGATGGATTTGTTAATTAACTGCAGAAGAAAAGGCATTTCCTTACACCAAACAAACAAAAACCCGACAGCCTTGACATAAATGTTCTCCCACATAAACTGTAAAATGTGGTGTTCTGAGGACTGATGGGAGAAAAGATGGTACAAATTGAAAATGAGAGTATACAACAAATCATTCTGCCAGAAGGAGCACTGCAATCAAGAGAGGTGAAGAAAGCTGGGTCCTGTCTTCCATTTATCCAGGCTCTAAGCTGGTGCAGATGTCAGAAATGTGTGGAAAGATCAGGAAATACCATATATGTAAGTTGACTTATCAGGCCCAAAATCAAAACACGTGCTACTTGGGAGAAGGGATTCTCATGTCAATACCACAAACAACTGAATTATAAAGTCTACTTCTGACCTCCTGACCTCCTTTCTAAACCTAGGAAACTGAGGCAGCCCGCACCCAAAACCTCTGCATTCACACGTCTGCAGCTTGTGTGCAGGCACTGGTGTTGCATCCAGAAGAAGTGCCTAAGGTAAGATACAGTTACTGTAGGATATGTCAAGAGTCCAAATCTTTTCATACTATCAAAGATAACTGCGGGGTATTGTATACGTAGCTATCTTGACGCTGGAAAACTTGAAACCTGTCAAATATAAAAAATGTCAGAAATGGATGGGTTCGCAGTTTCTCCATAACTCTGCCTCCCTAGTCTATGCCTGATGGACAGCTTTATAACAAGATCACTTTAGTATCTTCGGGACTTAGAAGGAATCCAGCTTACAGTAACTTCTCCTGCACTCTATGATAACAAGGCCCCAGGATACTGTGTTGAGTTCTCATAGCCAAGCACAGGATGACGGTCTCCTATAATGTGTACCAGGCATCAGAGACAGCAGGATGACTATGGGAGCTCACCTTCCCTTGTCTCTCTCCAGTTCAGGTTTCTTCTCAGGATGTTCTCTGTTTTCCTTTAGGAAGACCTCATCCTCTCCACTGTCGACAAGAGGCAGAGGGGAAAACGTCCCTGAGCTAGTGTCTGGCTTCTCTGATGAAGTGCTCCAGGTTCCATCCCAAACACTCTCTGTCAAACCAACTGAATTATACAAACCAGCAGATGAGAGGAGATGGCTTGGCACGTTGGAAAACTCTCTGCTTTCAGGAGAGGTCGGCCTTTCCAATGGGATCTCAAAATCCACAGGGTGCTGTATCTCTCTTTTCTCCCCTCCTGTCCACAGTATTTCCACCCCTTGAAATTCCACATGTTTGACCCGGCCGGGGCGTCCTGTGGAGCTACCTTGGTCAGACCTTCTCTCCCTCAAAAAACCAACACTGCCCGCAGAAGTATGGGTCGCTGCTGGGTTCCCCAGAGAGGAGACCGGACGAGCGGGCTCCTGCACACGAAGAGCCCCTTTTCTACCATTATCAGTTATCTCGGAAAGCTCTGCCTGAGCCTCTCCAGTTAATAGTACAGTCAGATCCTTCTGGGTGCTCAAATAAGAATTCTCCTCAGTCGTAACTTTAGCTGAAAGAGGTATATCTGGTCCTTTTCCTTGGCCAGCAGGAAATAATTTGTTGGCTCTGTGTCTCTTTGTTTTATGAAGGGCAGTATCCAGCTCCCTCTCCACCTGCTGAACTGAAAAACTAGAAACAGCATCTTTGTCCAGTACCTTTGTAGCCTGTAATGTTCCTGAAGCTATTCTGGCTTCTGTGGCTTCCAGAGTTGAAATCAAAGAGTCAATGGGTTGTAAACTTTGTTCCTTGAGGTGACTTTGAGAGAGGGACTCTCTGACATCTTTTGGTCCTTCTGTAACACTGTCAGGCCCAGAGTGGTGGCCATCGAGAAGCTGGGCCCCCTGCTGCCCCTGTGGGCCGCCTGGCAGAGACTCTGTATCAAACCCAAGAGAAGTTCTTAGGCCTTCTCCACTCTCCTCCATGGTCCCATATTCTGGAAATTCATTTGTGACATTCGGTGGCAGTAAAGTGCTTCCTCCATGATCACCTATGAACAGAACAGAATAGACACATAACTTGTTTTGAACAACAGGTTCCAATGTATATTAATAAATAACAACACATATCAGGTACTCAATAGTCCTTGTTTGATTCTTTCACTGTCTCCTGCCCCTCAGCCACCCAGCAACACATTCTTCTCGTAACTTTCCCAGTGGTCCCTTCTACTTAGCTTACATGAGGGTAAGGGTTTTAGTACAGAAGGAGGCATCTAATGACACACGCCATCTTTCACCGTTTTGATAAAGTCCCACACATGCAACTCAGTTGCTGCACATGCAAAAAGGGATTGAAATAAAATCCGTACCACTTGCCGTATACCACTTGTGAAGTAGTAACTAGAATATTTATATTGGGCATAAAAACAAAGAGCCTTATGATCCAGCCAACAGCATTTGTGCAGTGCAATCTCCAAGACAGATATGATCTATTTAAAGTCAGTAAATACTTTTTCAGCTGGAAGCCTCCCCTTCACTATTGGATTTCTATGGGGAAAAAAGGCTTTCAGAACATCCTTGGAGAATGAGAGTGAAGTCAAAATGGAATAGGATACTTAATGTGTTAAGAAAAATTTCCAGGATCCCAGCTGCATAAAACCTAAATGTGTGTTATACAGAACCCCAATATATGAAGCAGTAAAAACAATAATTAGTACATATTTACTGCAACAAACCAAATTTACATTTTCTTATTAAAATGGCAGTCGGTGAGAACAACGAAAATGTTCTGATGAAGAAAAATTTAAACTGGGAGTTTATGGATAACAGTTACAGTTCAGTCAGCTCTGATAATCCAATTTCCTTCTGAATTTGGTTTTGGTTACTTTGTATGAAGAAAGTCCTCATCTACACTAGAAATGTAGTGTACTCACTTTGACAACTTTATGAAAGAGGACATTTGTTGTTGTGTTGTTGATATTTTTAAAGCACTGTGAACTACAAGCTTCCTACTTAGTGAAATATTAAATATCTGAATATATACACTAAAATGACAGGGAGGACTTGATTCCAAGGCATGCATAAAATGAGGTTAACTTGGAAACATGAGTTAACATATGGTATCCCACAGTATGCAAAATATGATGAATAGTAATACATCTGAGAGTGTATACTAATGTTCCATTTTTTTAAGTAATTTGAAATATATTTTTTAAATTAAATTTGAATAAGGTATGGATGGAACCCAACAAGCACTTCTCTGTGATGGCAGTACTTATAATACCTTCATAAGACAGGACTAAGAGAATGTGGCTTGCTGAAATCTGAAGAGGGAGCATCTCTTCAAATCCTGACTTTGAAACAAAGACAGTTAAAAACAGTAAGATCTCTCTTACTAGGATGGCATATTGAGATTTTTTTCCTCTTTGAAGATTCAGTGGTTTGTAATCTGCTCACTAAATTATACCATTACCACTGTCTAATTCCAGAACATTTCACCACCCATCCAAAAAAAACCCCATATCCATCAGCTGTCACTCCTCATTGCCCTGTCTCCTCAGCCCCTGGTAATGAGCAATCTACTTTCTGTCTCTACGGATTTGTGTATTCTGGACATGTCATAAAAATGGAATCATATAATATGTGTCTGGCTTTTTTCACTTAGCACAATGTTTTCAAGGTTTATCCACATTGTGGCATGTATCAGAACTTCATTCCTTTTTATTGCCAAACAATATTTCATTACATGGATATGGCATAGTTTCTTTGTCCATTCATCACTTGACGGAATTTGTGTTGTTTCTACTTTTTGGCTATTAGGAATAATAAACATTTGTATACAAGTTTTTGTGTCTACATTTATTTTCAATTTTCTTGGATATACACCTATGAGTGGCATTTCTGGGTCTCATGGTTATTCTATGTTTAGTGTTTGAGAAACTGCCAGTTTTCCAAAGTAACGGCACCATTTTACATTCCTACCAGCAAAATCTGAGAGTACCATTATTGTCCATCTTTTTTTAATTCTACCTGTCCTGGTGAGATTGAAATGGTATCTCACTATAGTTTTTTTTTTTTTTTAAGATTTTATTTATTTATTTGACAGAGAGAGACACAGCGAGAGAGGGAACACAAGCAGGGGTAGCGGGAGAGGGAGAAGCAGGCTTCCCGCGGAGCAGGGAGCCCGATGTGGGGCTTGACCCCAGGACCCTGGGATCAAGACCTGAGCCGAAGGCAGATGCTTAACAACTGAGCCACCCAGGTGTCCCCTCACTGTAGTTTTGATTTGCATTTCTCTAGTGACTGATATTGAGCATCCTGTCATATACAAATTGGTCATCTGTACATTTTCTTTAGAGACGTATCTGTTCAGATCCTTTGCCCATTTTATAATTCAGTTACTTTTCTTTTTATTATTGGGCTGTAAGAGTTCTTTATGTATTCCTGACAGAAGTTCTTTATCAGATATATACTTTGCAAATATTTTCTCCCATTCTGTGGGTTGTCTTTTCCCTTAGTTGATAGTGTCTTCTGAAGCACAAAGGTATTTAATTTTGATAAAATCTAACTTATCTACTTTTTTCTTTCGTTGCTTGTGCTTTTGGTGTTATATGTATCAAATTATTGTCCAAGATCACAAAAATGTATTCCTACGTCTTCTTCTAAGAGTTTTACAGTGTTAGCTATCACATTTAGATCTTTGATCCATTTGGAGTTAATTTTTGTATATGGTGTGAGGTACAGATCCAACTTCATTTTTTATGTGGATATCCAGTTGTCCCAACACTATCTGTTGACAAAAACTATTCCTTCCCCCACTGAACTCCTTGATATCCTTGTAGAAAATCTGCCTTGATACCCTTGTAGAAAATCAACTGACCCTAAGTGTAAAGGTTTATTTCTGGACTCTCAATTCTATTCCATTGAGCTAGAAGCCTTTCTTGTAGCTGGTATTACACCACCTTGATTATTATAACTCTGTAGAAAGTAAAATCAGGAAGTTTGAGTCGTACTTTGTTCATCCTTTTCCAAGTTGTTTTGACTACTCTGGGCCCCTTGCATTTCCTATATGAATTAGGATCAGCTTGTCAGACAGCTGAAATTTTCAGAGACTTGGGTAAATCTGTAGAGTACTGGAATCTTAACAATATTACCATTACATCTTTTGATCTATGCTACAGACTGTCTTTCCATTTATTTTTCTTTAATTTCTCTTAGCATTCTTTTGTAATTTTAAATGTACAAATTTTGCATTATTTTTGTTAAATTTATTCCCCTCAGTAGTTTATTCTTTTTGATACTGTTATAAGTAGAACTGTCATTTTAAACTTGCATTTTCAGATTATTCATTGCTAACACAGAGAAATACAATTGGTTACCAGCCCTTGCAAGAAGTCACCTCTCCCCTTACAAATATCACTGAACTTATATCCTGCAACCTTGCTGAACTTATAAGTTCTAATAGCTTTTTTGTGGATTTCCTACATACAAAATCATGTCATCCATGAAAATAAAAAATTTAACTTTTTCTTTATTATCTATCTCCTTTTATTTCTTTTCTTTCTTTTTTTTTTGGCCTAACTGCTCTAGCTAAACCTCTAGTACAACGCTGATTAGAAGTGGTAAGAGCAGGGATGCCTGGGTGGCTCAGTTGGTTAAGCGCCTGCGTTCAGCTCAGGTCATGATCTCAGGGTCCTGGGACTGAACACCAAGTTAGGCTCCCTACTCAGCAGAGTCTGCTTCTCCCTCTGCCCCTCCCCCCACCCCCGGCTCATGGGCGAGCTCGCTCTCTCTCTCTCTCAAATAAAAATCTTAAAAAAAAAAAAAAAAAAAAAGAAGTGGTAAGAGCAGACAATCTTTTCTTGTTCTTAAACTTAGGAGAAAGCTTTCAGTCTCTTACCATTAAATATAATGTTAGCTGTGGACTTTTAACAAATGCCTTCTATCAGGCTGAGGAAGATCCCTTCTATTCCTAGTATGTCGAGTGTTTTTATCACGAAATGGTGTCGAATTCTGTCAAATGCTTTTTCTCTGTTGAGATGCTCATGTGGATTTCATATTTTTTTCTAGTAACACGGTGTATTACATTAACTGATTTTTATATACTGAACCAACCTTCATCCCTGAAATAAATCTCACTTGGTCGGAGTGTATAATCCTTTTTATATGTTGCTAAATTCAGGTTTCTAGTATTTTGGGTGAGCAATATTGGTCTGCAGTTGTCTTGTATTATCTTCACCCGGCTTTGGTATTAGGGTAATGCTGGCTTCACAAAATGAATTGGGAAATATCCTATATTGGCATCTGTTTATACCTTTTACACTTTTTTAAAACATTTTTTATGTTTTACACTTTTTTTGAGCTCTTAACAGTTTTCTCTCCATTAATCAGTTTCTTCAGCACTTTAAAGCTATAAATTTATTGTTAATATGCAATGAAAGAAAAAACTGAATAATCCAAAAAGATAATTTCCCTTCTTTAACATAGTAAAAGAGCTTAAAATGAATAGAGAAGTACTTAGTCCACAGTAGGAAATATTTCCTTTAGATTTTAAATGTTTTTCATTATTTCTCTAAGCTAGATATCTTTACAAAAATTCAAGGACCAAAGAATATAGAATTTCAAAGGTTGAAGGGATTTAAGAATTAAATCAGCCATCTAACATTAGTTAGGTGAGAAACCAGGCTCAACTGAATGATATACTCTACCAACCTGACACAACAAATAAAAAATCAGAGCTTTTCTATTCTACCTCTACTATGCTTTACATCCCTCCCCGCCCCTCCACCTTTATTAGTAGTAAAGTACCCTAATATGTGTGTCTTCAATCTTTTCCCTGAAATTTAAAAATCTTCTGAAATGGTTAACCAATGCCCAGCCTCATTTTCCCATTTTGTTCCTAAACCAAAAATTATGTTGCTTTCTGTAATTTCACACTGCGTACAGAATAAAGTCTAAACTCCTTGAGCTAGAAGTCCCAATCCCAAACCAGTCCTAATCTATCTTCCCCAAATTACTCTTTTTCTCTTGTTCAACTCTTTTCAAATATACT